TCAAATAAAATTGGAGATGAAGGCGGGGTTCACGGAAGGAAGATCTTGCATAGACCACATATATACACTTTAACAATTAATTGAAAAAAAAATGGCAAAAAATAGACCAGTACACATTCATACACTTAAAAAAGGCATATGGCACGGTTCGCAGAAAACAACTATGGAACACGATGAAGGAAATCAAAATAACTCAGAGGTTAATAGAAGATCATGGAGGGATGAAGTAGACGAGGCCATGGAAAGATAAGACCTTAGAGATGGAGAATGGCAGAACAGAAAGGACTGGAGACGTTGGCTAAAAGAAGGAAGGCAGCGATAACTGTAAAAATCCTTATATAGATAGATAGACTGACTCTGAACGGCTCAGTAAAATTAAATGATTCGGAAAGAAGATTGGGGACGTTTTTCTTGACGACACAAAAAAATGATTTGAAGAAGCAGAAGCATGTTCCATTTTTCTGTTTTTATCAGCGGGAGTTAAGGAATTCGTTGCTTGAGGTAAAGTTAACAGTTGTTTATCCTCGTCTTCTTTCTCAGAAAAAAGGTTTTTAAGCAATAATCTAGCTAACTTGTTATGTTTGAAACCAAATCCATCATCTTAATCCATCAGGATCTTCAAGATCCTGAACCAAGTCAGGATGTTGATATGAATCATCAAAATCTTTATTTCCGCTAGACTTATTTGTCTTTCTTGTCGCCAATTACATTGGCGCACCCTTTTTAAGTGCTGTACTTAAGTACTGGAACATGTCGGCTGACTGTCGATACTAGGAGTCGAGGATTGTTACTAAAAATTAAGCTTATCTAAGGGAAAGTCGTCTGCATCCTCATCGCCATCAAATTTGAAAAAAAAATACTCTTCATCACTTAGATGGTCCGCTATATACTGGAGTTCAGCTTCTGTAAGCGGTCTTTTTTGTGCGTAAACTACGATCTCGAGATTTTTTTGGTTTCGTATGTGACAAAATATCTTTTATTTTATACAATCCTCAAAATCATTAAAAATATTTTCCTAGGGCTAATGTCAAACAACACGATTTTTACAGAAATTTGTTGCCAAAACGTTGTTTAATAACTGGCATAAGTTTCAAAACTAATAAATAAAAATTGTTTTTATGCCGGGATAAATAAAGGCAATGAATTTTGGGATTAGAATTCTTATAAAACATATTTATTCCTGTAGTAACTATTCCAGCACTTTTAAAGAATTATCTGCTAATTAAAAATAATGAAGAAAGTGTACTTGACACTTAACTTCAATAATAATTTTCACGACAGCAACTAACGAAGTTAACAAATAAAAAAAGACAATATTTAAACACAGTCATATAAAACTTTGAGAAAAGCGATTGGGGATATGGAATTTCGATGGATTAAAGCAAACTATAACAGAACAATTCTGATCTAAAAACTCAATATTCAAATGAAAATATAAAATATGCGAGTAACTATCTCAATAAACGAGGAAAGTTTGAAGAAATAAAAATTATGTTTTATTATTTAGTGTCATAAACTGCTAAGAATATTCAAAACACCAACAATTAACAACCCTTTGTTAAATACATCTAACATACTTACTTCAAGGATGAATATAAACTTTCCAATTGGGAACAAAAGAAACTGACTCAGAAAAAAATCACACGCATTATATACTACTTGACATTGATATCTACGTTTTAGTTTACATTACAAAAAACAATAAATACATGCTTCATTTGTAGGTGTGTACAATATTTTTTTTAGTTTTCCTTCTTACATGACATTAGACTTGTATCTGTATGTAACAATCCATCAAATACTACTGTTAAGAACATAAAAGTAAATACCTGCATGTATGTTGCATAAAGAAAGGATTTTTTACATTAGATATTGTTACTGCAATTCTCTGTTGAGTTGAAAGTTCCGATTTTGTTTTATAAAATTTATTAAGTGAATACAAACAGGATATTTCCAAATATGCCAGTTATTTATTTGTTTTGGCATATCACAATTACAATACACAACAATAATTAGTTTTTAAAGTTATTAATCTAAATTTAATATGTATTTATAAATGCAATTTATTAATATATATTATATTATGATCTAATTGTGTAAGAAATCAAAACAAACAAAATTCCTACTCTAAAAATGCGGCAACACTTAATACACTTTTGCCACGCGCTGAACTGTCAATAAGATTTCAAGTATTTCCGTATCAGAAAATTTAAACTCCAAAGTTGATCTTCTGGAAATACAAGTGACGTCACTTTGTATAAATCGTGACGTGCAAGTGTTTTACTTTGAAAAATGGTATATGTAGTAATAGGTATTTTGTCAGTGGTCGTATTTAGAATGGTTTTAGATACAGTATACTAGCGGTGTGGCATACAAACCTCACATATAATTGTGAGTTATATAATGGCTAGACAAATATTGAACAAAACTGCAATTTTTATTTTTTTAATAAAAAATTAAAGTACTTCTATTAAATACAATAAGAAAAAGGCTACAGTATTCTATATACATTTTGTATATGTACATGCCAGTCCAAGGCATGCTTCTTCTCCAAACCTCTCGATTCCATAGCTCTTCCAATTCCTTCATTCCATAAGTGTCGAGGTCTTCTTCTTTTTCTTCTTCCAGGGGCTCCTTCATAGGTATCGATACCATTTAAACCTCTTTTTTCTATTCTGTCAATTCTTCTTTCTAAGGTGCATTAATTTTTCATACTTCAAAGCTATAACAAAGAACTGATTCAACCATGGTTTGCCCTACTCTTTTTTTGTTTCTTTTGGAAATGTTGCTATCCTACCATAAGGGGTGCAGACATCCTACAATTTTACATCTCTGATTAATTTGGTGTTTAATTTCGGTTTCTCCCAAGCCTTTCTTATCAATAAGTGCACCTAAATATTTAAATGTTTCCACTTGTCTGATTTCCACGTCATCGTCTATCAACACTTCAAACTTTTGCTCTGAATTGATAATTAAATATTAACCCTATTTAACATATTCTTTGTAGACATTTTATCATCATAAGAATCTTGAGCTAGGATCCGCAAAGCTCAGGGAGAACAGTACGTCATTTCCTATGGGGCTTCTCATTCCCTGGCAGTGGTGTTTCCAACTTTGGAGGGCTGCCTCAATATACAAATTAAACAGTAAGGGTGACATACTGTATCTTTGTCTTAGTCCTTTAGTTAATTTTATAGGCTCTGATAGTCTATTTCCGATTTTTTAGGTAAGTAGTGTTATCCTTGGATACTTCTGTAATTATTCCTAAAAGGTATGGACTAATGCCAAGTTGTTGTAAAGCTTGCCACAATTGAAGTTTTGCTGTTACATCATACCCCATTTCTAGGTCGATGGTTGGAGTATAAACAAGTTAGCAGTGTAAGATCTACCATATTGTTCTAAAATATAATATTATAAATATATATAATATAGGTATATAATTCTTAAATAGTAATTAAGATCTACCAGGCATAACTCCACTCTGGTCTTCGCTAATTAGATGTCCTACATCATCTTCTATTTTTCTATGTATTATCTTTCCAAACAATTTTCAAAGTAGGTAGGACACTTAATCCTCTGTAGCAGTTATGATCTTTTCGTTTATTCTTTTTAAAGATGGCCACTTGGTAAGCTGTGTTCCATTCAGATGGTACTTTAATTTGTTGGCAGCATTGATTCATTAGAAAAGTTGTTCGTTCTACTAGTAGTGGACCTCCTGCTTTTAGTATCCCTACAGATATATTGTCAGGTCCTGGAGATCGCCTGTTTTTCATTTTAATAATGTAGTACGAACCTCGTTGTTAGTAGTATTAATGTTTGTCTGATGTTGGTCTAATGTAAATCTTTGTTTGATAATATAAGGTGATATTTCATTCTTATTATTTGGAAGTTTACATAACCATGGAGAAGTTTGAGGGACTGTGAAAGGGCTGGTTGACAACAGATTGATATCTAAATAAGGAATTAACATCTCTGTAGTAGACAGTACCATTTTAGGATTATTAGTAACTAGTAGTTGTCTATTACAGATGAGGTTTCTTGTGGGATTTGTGGGATTTGCTGTAACTCTAGCGAAATAGTGTAGTAGAAGTTGTTGTCGTCTTAGATGAAGCAAAGGTTCGAAACATTTTACATGAATGATTTCCACTGGACTGGATCGGAATGCTCCTAAACAGAGTTGAAGGGAAGTATTTTGGACTGCACTTAGTGAACGTAGAAGTAATTTACGTGATTACATGTAGAGAACACTACCATAGTCAAGTTTGGAGCAAATAAAAGCTCGATATATTTTTAGTAGTGTTTCATATAATGGGCTAGTGATTTAAGGAGATTTATTCTTTGAAGGCAGTTACCTGTAAGTTCTCAAATGTGTGGGATCCAGGAAAGTTTTTTATCGAAAATAATGCCAAAAAGCTTTATTTGGTCTACTACTTGAAGAAAATTTCCATTCAGAGTAATGGTTGGAGATTGCGTGTTTTGTCTTCTGGTAAAATAACTTTGGATTTGAATGGGGAGAATTTAAATCCAGATTGACTAGCCCAGTTGTTTAAGCGTGCTTTGTAGTAAAGTATTTATGCTGGATGTGACCTATTCATGATAAAATAATAATAGGTCGTCAGCAAATATTCCGTATTGTACAGGGTCGTTTATGAATTAATACTAAGCATAAATAGTGTGCTGCTTAGGATAGACCCTTGTGGGACACCGTTTGTAGTTGTGTATTGTGAGGAAGTTTTGCCATTAGTAATTACTTTAAAGGATCGCTTTGTGAGAAAATTTTTTATAAACGAATATATATTACAGGATAGCTTGTTCTTATTAATAATTAAAATATTAGTTTCTTACCGAAATAAGTTGATTTATCCCAACAAAAACACAAAAAATCGATATAATAATAATAGTCATTCATTTCCCATGATATTTAAAGTTTGCTAAAAGTTCCAACAGCTTTAAGAGTAATAATAAAACAAGACTCTCAGTTCACTTTTGTCGTTTTACAGGTAGATACACAAAATCGATAGAGAATTATAAACTCACAGTTCCCCACAAACTTGATTCCCGGGGAGACTTCCTGTCCTTCGACCTACCCCATTTTTTCGTTCATGACCCCTCGAAATCTCGCAGGAAAAGAACGTCGCAGGATTCGAGCATGGTTCACTACGGTCTGACACTGAACGGTCAGGACCACGTGATCGATTTGTGGCCCAATCACGAGTTTCTTTCGGCCGATCTGATTGTGGAACGTAGAGATCCGAAACTGAGGAGGGCCAGTGAGAGATTTAAGCGTATTGATAGGGAGAAAATTTGCCATTATACCGGTGAGGTTCGAGGACAAAATGGATCTAGAGCGGCTTTAAGTACTTGCGATGGATTGGTAAGGATAAAGGTTTTAAAAACACATTTTGTTTTTAATCTACAAAGCAATCTACTAGTATTTAACAAAAGTATCAATAATTATATTGGGTTAGTTTTTATGTCAACTCTAGCCTGGTTTAACATGCACATTATTCGAGTCGTATGACAAAACTTATAAATTTTTATATTTTTAAATCCAGGTGCTTTGTTTACTTATTATCCCAGGAAGCTATTTGTTCTACGTTGGTCTTACTGCAGCCAGTTGGTTTATTGAATATCTTTCATCTCTATATTATACATCTCCTAGAGCTATTTTTTTTTCTACGGCGTACAAATTTTTGATATATCGATCATTTTCCCTCCTGTAACGAATATATTTTGCCAACCACATGGGTATTATTATAAGGCGTTGGCAATTGGGACAGAAGTTACTGGGGGTGGAGATAGGGCTAGCAAAATAAACGATACTTATGCGAACGGAACTCAGGGTTTATTTGGAGAGCTGGGGTCGTGGATAAGTTGAATGGCAAGGGGTTGGATTGGAGCAACTACAAAAATGAAACACAAGGGTACTTACATAAGTCTCTTGGAACAAACAAAACAACAAGAAAGACCTTTAGCAATTTAAAATGGACGCCGCTTTGAGTTTCAAATTATAACAATTACAACAACTAGTTGGAACTATTGAAATAATTATTAGAAATGAAAAATATATCTTTTTAAATGAAACTCAAAAAAGGGGTTAGAGAGTTAGTTCAGAGAAATAAACAAAATAAACAAAATGGTACGAACTCCATTTTAAGTCACTCTACTGGTATTTTTACTGCCTTGTATATTTCATTAAATATTTCAGTTATTATTTTTATTTGTTCTGCATCTAATAGCTTCAGCAGTTCTGCAGAAATTTCATCAAGTCTCTGTGCCTTTCCATCCTTCATTTGTCCGGAGCCCGAATTTTTTTCAATGGTGAGTTCTTATATTGTTAGTGGAAAAGCTTCTTCAAGTATTCTTCCCATACTTTCTTTTTATCTACTTTGGTTATGGCAAGATTGCCTTTATTATGTGTTATTTTTCTGCTAAAAACACCATCCTCAAATTTTTTTCAACCATAAGCCTGCTATTGTATACAACGTCAAGACCAAGTAATTCAATCATAAATTTAAAAAAAACCTAACCTAATAATAAGAATTTATTGGTTATACATTTTCGCAGAATTAAAAAGAATCTTTTTGAAAACAATTTCCAAAGTGAAAATCGAATGTAATTATGCATTAGTTAGTTAAAAATGTAATTTTAATTATAATCAATAATTGTAAATGAGAAAGTGGATAGCCTAGCAAACACAAGTCGAATAAACTCACAATACACAAACAAATCAAGAAATTACCCATACTCCGATCTCAAAAACCTAATTAAAGACCACTGTATGAATATATGGCAAGACTACTGGAAAGATTCAGGAACCAAACTATATAAGATTTATCCCCTTGTGAAGACCATCTTGAATAATCCATCCAATAGAAGGGACCAAGTAATAATTAACCAACTAAGAATTGGACACACTGCACTGACCCATAAATTCTTAATCAACAAAGAATCTTCTCCAACCTGCAGAAACTGTTCTCTCCCATTGACGGTGAAGCCATATTCTGATTGACTGCCAGTACACGAAGAAGCAAGAAGAGAATATGGAATCTCTGATGACATCAAAACCACATTAACCATAAACACTGACCATATAATAAATTATTTAAAAGATTTACGTTTATATGCATCTATTTAATGTAAATAAAATGAATTCTTGTGTATGTTACTCCACTAATAACCCTGCGTGGTTGATGTGGATTGTATGTTAAAATAAAAAAAAATAATTGTAAATTAATGCCATATAAACATAGTATTCAAGATAGAGCTATAGTTGAATATTTTATAGATAGTATTTTTGTTTTAGGCTGGATATATCATTCTTGACAACAAGCGGTACTTTATAGAACCTTTGGAACACCATCAACCGAATCAACAGGGTAAATAATATTATCAATTTGTATATCTCTAATATATTATATTTCTTCATATCCCCATGTGTGTCTTTTGAAGGACACTTCTTTTTATAGAATATTATTTTGTTTGTGTATTAATTTTTTTTAAATAAATTTTATCCGTCTTAAAGCAGGTTTTATGCTTATGCTTTTCTTTTTTTTTTCGGGAATTTGATATTTAGTATCAAGTCAATACTTATGTGTTATATTTATATGTCTTCCGGGTTGAACCGCGTCGATATCCATTTTGCCGAGGTTTCCGCATCCTCTCTGATGCCTTCCTCAGGGCTTCCGAGGTCTCAGTCTCCCGAGCCCCAGACACTACTACACTGTTCACTGATCACTACGCTATCACTACTGTAGTGATAGCGTAGTGATCAGTGAACAGTGTAGTAACAATAGTAACAGTGTAGTAAGTGGTCAGATATTCTTCTTAGTTTTTTTTATTTTATATACATATTTAGGGCATTATTTGAATCTGAGGACTATATAGTTTTTATTTAGTAGTTATTTTCATTATCAGAACTGTACATTTTTAGGTCAACATTTGCATATGATACACCAAAGCAATTCCCACGTTGACGCCAGATCGGCCCATTGCGGTACCAGCGCCGATTGGGAAAAGGCTTGGAAGAAACGATTCAGAGACAAGTTACTCAAGACAGGTCAAGCTGTCGTTGGCAAACGAGGAACAACGAGTGAACATAGATATCTCGAAATACTAGTGGTTTGCGATAAAAAGTTTATTACTCATCACAAGGATAAGGATATGGAGAACTATATTATGACAATCATGAACATGGTATGTAAAATTAATCTAATAGAGTTAACATCCATTTCACAAATAATATATAGGGAGAGTAACACAATGATGTTGCGACGGTTGGGGCTGGGAAAATTTTACCGACCGTGGGAAAAAGCGGCATCCTTTGATGTGTGCACATGTTCAGGTGTTCGAGTGACGTCACGCTCTCTGACAAGTCGAGTCATTTCTTCTTTTCGTCTCTCTCGTCTTCTTCTGTTCGTCAGCTGATCTGTTTTTCGTCCCATGTCACCTTCTTTTATTTACTAATTGAATGTCCACTGCTTGACAGGAGAAACCCATTCGATTTTACCCATCATAAAGGGTTGAAGAATATTATATCGGTCTCCCCTTACCCCTTACTTCGTGTCCAAAATAGGCCATCTTTCTACATTTGATGTTATCAAGCAGCTCGCGAGCAGCATTTGCTCTCTCAAGGACTGCCACATTTGTCAGCATAGCCGTCCATGGCATTTTTAGTATACGTCTCTGCAGCCACATTTTAAAGACCTCCATACGATTAATGGTAATTTCTGCAGTAATACATTTAGTGCAAAGAGGGCGTCCCGAGTTCCCAGTCCATTATTAATGTCCATGCTTCGACACCGTATAAGAGGACTGACCAAATGTAGCATTTAACCATGCACTTGGCACGAAGTTGAAGTTGCAAGTTATCATTACAGAAGAATGACCTCATTTTTAAAAATGTCGTGCGGGCTATCTCGATTCTACATTTTATCTCTTGATCTGGATCTAGTTGTTCAGTAATATGGCAACCAAGATATTTAAAACTGGACACTCTTTGAATTATATGACCATCAACATATAATCGTGCATCTTGATGTGCTAAACGGCTAAACACCATGTGTTTTGTTTTTTAACAGTTTACGTTTAGGCCAAAATTTCTTCCCACTGTATCAATGACATTTAAAAGGCATTGTAATCCATTTATGTCATTACTTGAAATAACTGTATCGTCTGCATATTTGATTGTATTTATCAGAATTCCATTAACTTTGACAAATATCAGTGGGGATAGTATACAACCCTGTCTGACACCTCTTTGTATTTTACATATTTCTGTTGATTTTCCATTTATTCAAGCTGTCGCTGTTTGACGCGAGTATAACTTTTCTATCAATTGTATGTTTGATCTCGACATTTCTGCAGTAATACATTTAGTGCAAAGAGGTCGTCCCGAGTTCCCAGTCCATTTCTGAAGCCAAATTGTATTTCATCCTGGTCTTCTTCACATTTATCTCTGATTCTACTGTGAATGATGCGTAGAAATATTTTCAAAGTGTGGCCCATAAGGCTTATCATTCTAATTTTTAGTTTGTAGTATTTGTAGTTTTTGTAGTGCAAAGGGGCTAAATAGCCTCTACGATGTTATACTATGTACAATGTGTAAGAGATATTTGAAGAAGCTATCTGGACTGCATTTTTTTATAGCAGTTGAAAAATTTTGTTTTTGCCATTTTATTACCAATTGCGTTTTTATTTTATAGTTATTTCATTCAATTTTAAATTCACTCACGCTCTTAAACACCACCATTGACATTTTCTCTGTGAAACTAACAAAAACCATAAAATCCTATCAATTTTATTGTTTTTAATTAAAACACTTTTTGTTTTGATTGAGCCACGTAATAAAAGCCATATATTTTTCCTTTTATTAGATAGTGGACCATAAACTGGTGGAAAATTTCATTAAACTTTACTACAACGCTACAGACTTTCCACTTTATTTCAGGGTAGTACACGAATATTAGTTTATAAACACGTCCAAGTTTTATTTTATTACTATCTTATTACACCAAGTGAAATTTTGAGTTTGTTGGCGTATTTGGTGTCTTATTTTGCCAATTAACGATTACGTAAATACTACCAGTAACAGTTAATGTCTTTTTTGTCTAATTGTTTTTTAATGTCTTATTCTATAAGGTCGAAAATACGATCAGGTGAAATTAAGGAATGACTGAAGATCGGAAAAATTAATTCAATTTTTTTAATGTAATTCGACGATTCTTCTAGAAGCCAATAAGCCAACATTGCCATCATATTCGAATTTTTGTTTTGTCCGCCGCACCCATCAGCGAACAAACGTATTGTTTCTATGTTGTCATCATAATCAAAATTCTCTAGAGCATGCTGAAAAGCTGACGCTATTGTATTAGAATCTTTTCGAAAGTCAATTTCTGTCCACACGTAAGAAAACACATTTGTTGGTCTTAGTTTATCGGTAAAAGTTCCAGCAACAACTGTAAAATTATAGTTTATTTGCTGGCTGAAATATGCTGCCTAATTAGTCAGTTTAGGCAGTGCTTTTTTGTTTTTTGTTTTTTGTCAGTGGAACGAAAAGAAAGTTGTGGTAGGTTCTGGATTTTTAAGAGGTTTGAAAAAGCCTTTGCTTTTACGACATGAACACGATGCTCAGTGGCTAACTTATGCCGAACAGCTGAAGAAGTTGTTACTTTCAACTGCTGATTTGTTTTCAAGCAAGTGGAGCAACAGTCAGTCAACGGAGTTCCAGAAGCGATGTTGTAGTTAACATTCACATACTTTCGAAAATAACTAAGCTTCACATGTATAGGCTAAGGCACTCTTAGATAATGGTCGACCAGTCACATAGCAAGTAGACCCCTAACGCTTGTCTTGCTTCTACACTAATGGGACTCTCTACATGTTTTGGAATAGAGGCATCTCTTTTATTAAGACAATTTGGCCTTTTTTTAATTTCTACGGCATCTCGGATAATTCTTGGTTTATAGACGCGGATGTGGGAAGTTTTCAAAATCAATTTTGTGACCTGTTGATGGTGTTGACATAGAGCTAAAATTGATTCGGTATTGTGAGAAGAAATGAAATGTTCTTGAATCCTATTTGGGATTCTACGATTTGTTTGGCCTGTAAAGGATTGAGGCAGTCTGCACATAGAAATTCATAAACTCCGTGTTGTTCATTTGGAATGTTGTCTTTGATTTATCGGATAAGAAGCGAAAGTTTTTACTGGGAGTAAATTTGTTTTTATTCCTATTGATTTAGGAATTTTGTTGATTTTGTCAGTGACACCTTTGGTATAAGGAAGAAAAGCTTTTGTATGATGAGGGTCTGAGTCTTTGGTTTGAGATTGAGTGGGAGATTAATGTCTGTAGACTCCTATTGATGTGACTTTCGCGGTAACCGCTTTGGATGAGCGATTGTTTTAAACAAAAGAGCTCAGCGGGTCTACTTGCATCATCACAAAGGCGTATTGATCTGGAGACAAGGGTATTAATGACTGAATTATTTTTGTGATGATGGTTTATGAAAGTTGGCATGTAGGTAGACTTAGGTTTTTGATAGATAGAGTAATGAAAACCTTGTGATTAATTTTTCTTTACCTTAACCTCGAAAAACGGAAGGGATAAATAAGTTTCCATCTCCATGGTGAACTTGATACTAGGATGTATACCATTTTGATGGATTTGAAAAGACACCAAAGCATCCCTGCCATAAGGCCAAATGACGAATGTATCGTCAACATATCGTAGCCAATATGTAGAGATAATTTACTAAAACTCACTTGATTATATCAGAATATCTATACATAGGGAGTTTCCTATATGTATAGGGGCATTAAAAGTTACTGGAATTTCATTCTTATCGTAAAAAAAACTTTTGTAGGGTGACGTTAAAGCAAATTTTTACAATTTAGTCAAACTAGCCAATAATTTAATATGATTTTTGAAGATTGTACTATTCTAATAAAATTGGGGTATAAAACAAAACAAAAAAGAAAATTGTCTTATGATCAGGATGGCGAAAGGGCATATAGTGTAAAAAGCATTTCACCTTTTGCGGTTTACTACTAAAAATCGATTTATGAAAAATACTGAATTTTTTCAGGGTGCCAAAGAAAGAAAAATAAAAAGCACAAAGGAATTCATTCAAATACAGGCCTCAACTCATTATTTATTTATTTATTTTGTTGAGTTTTTGTAGGAAAATAAAATAAAAAATAACCTGCTAGGCGTTTGTTTAAATATTGTACCAACTCGTTACAAAAACCGTATTTTTAGGTTGAAATTAATGATCGCAAAACAAAAACAAAACGCTGAACATATGCGAAAAACCTGCCGTGAATCTAATGAATATGCAAAAGTTGATTTAAAAATAATAATTCTTTGTTTTATAGCCCGTCTATATGTACATATTTATTTTTCGATAGGTTCAGGTTTTACTGGTTGGAGGCTTATATCAATTGATGGCATTATAAAAATTGTAGGGCAACTGCGCGATACTACTGTATATACATATATATTTATATATGCATGTACTATATAAGGAAGCGTAAAATATTTTATGAAAATTACTGTCATATAACAGTTTACAGCTTGAAACATTTTATTAAATTGTGAAAGTTTTAAAATGCAAGTTGTACTGCATTGAAAAATGTTATATCTCTCGGTTTAACGTTTATTTCAGTAAAATGCGATAAGGGACTTTGAAAAACGGAAAAGGTCGGTTTAGTACTAACCTACATAAAATGTGTAACTTATTGATCGAGCAGATATTTGGTTATGTTTTTATCTCTCTACTTGAAGTATCTGTAACTATCCGTAAGTATTCGTAAACAAGAAAGACTGATAGTCAATGCTCAGCAAACACAAATTGTCAACTTTACCAAAAAAAAAAACAGCACACAAGGTGGACAGATTTGAACGTAGTTATGAGGATCAAATCGTTTTGTAATGCTCCTTTGTCTGCCTCTTGATCGACGATGTTAAATACAATAAAAAGTTAAAGTGATGGAGTAAAAATTATGGTTTTATTGACAGCTACCAGTAATTATACTATAATAAATACACTATAGGTTAGAGAATTTTCTACAATAGACTGCCCTCAAATGAGCTCAAATCCCTAATTTATAATTTTACAAATAATGTATACCTCAGTACAGAGGTTAATGCTTCCATCATACTAACAAACTTTAAGTGAGGTTGATTACAAGAACCTTG